ATATATCGTTGTTCATATGGACATGTATATCACAAACTAGGTTATTCTATTCAATATATCGTTGTTCATATGGACATGTATATCACAAACTAGGTTATTCTATTCAAATATATCGTTGTTCATATGGACATGTATATCACAAACTAGGTTATTCGACGACCCCGATGCATTCTACCGGTTGTTTGGGTGGAGTGTGCTGCTGTTTGATCGCAATTACACTCGGTCAGGGGCCACTTGCATGGATTTCAATACAATTCTCGCCGAAACCCAAGTACAAGTATCATATCATTTGAACCAACGACCCACGTCCATTCCAAACTTGTACCAACTCTGGGCCACATCGCTCCAGGCCCAAGCCCTGGCCCCGACGAGTATATACATATATATACATATATTAATATTTTATTTCTGGTTAATATTGTAGAAGCCAGTGCCCACATGCGCACATATGTCGTCGCGTGGGCGGGCGGCGTGACAGTGCGGGCGTACCCGTCGCAGCAGGCGGACGTTGTCGCGACGATGGAAGAAGGGGTACAGGACACCCGGGATTAGGATTTGTCTTGATATTTGTATAGGACCACCTGGACACGGTGCTCCAAGCTGGCGTTTGGCTTAAGCTGAGGGATGTGCCGGGAGGTCAAGGGGGTGGCTGGGTACTCTCGAAACTCGATCAAGTCATGCTCGTGGACCCCACCCAAGCAGTGTAGAAGCAGGAAATAGTATACTAGTAGTACTAGTAGTAAGTACTACGTACATGCTAAATTGTATTTTTAATTCGATTTTCATCAAGGGTTCCTGAAACATTACGACATTATTCAGGCGCAAAATGCCATTTTGGGGCCGAATACTAGTATAACGTTTTAATATATCCATTTTCTGGCAAAATGGGATAAATCAAGAATGGCATTTTCAAAATGGAGGTGAGCAACCTGATATATTACAATATTCTGGGGTCGGAGGATTCCATAAATGTGATAAATATTGAAACATGTCTTGCATGACGAGTTTTAAACCAAATATAATAATTCCCAGTCGGATTTACTCCTTGAGAGGGTCCATACTATTAATAGTATAATAAAAAAACCTCGATTTTGAAAATCCCATTTGGCCGAAAAATGGAATATTATTTTTCAAATATTACCAGGCACGCACCCTAAAATAAAGATATGGACTTGTTTGCGTTCGTTTACAGTACACTTTGACGTACTGTACTGTACATGTAATAGGTGTAGGTACTGCACTTGATTATACTTAGTATAATACTGCGTCCTGTATTAGTAAGATATTGCTCATATTTGTACGATTCACGATATATATATTATTATCCACAGACATTTATCATCCTATCCTACTAACTATATTCAGTATAGGCCTTGGTCGAAAGTGGCATTCGAACGGCGGGGACAACGCTTGAAACGCTAGTTGCCACTCCGTTAACGACATCCGTCCGCTGTTTATCCGGACGTTATTCACCGACTCAAGTGCCATGTGGGGCCACATGAGTTGGTTGTGCACGAGCATGACGACAGATTTGGTGTCGGCGGCAAATGCAAACGCGAATCCACCGCCGCCGCTGTCTAAGGTTGGAATGGTCACGATGATGGGCATCGATGAGGGGGGGGGGGAGATGGCCGACGTAACAGTTGTAGCCAGTGGTTCATAGGCTAGCCAAGTGGGGGAAGTCGAAAGAGGCGGCGACAAGGTGGGTGGATCTGCGACACTGTCAGATATGTGGCTTCGGCTGGTTTCAATGGACTTCGTCGGTGAGGCATCGAGTCGTGCGCCTGTAGC